TATTCTAGCAGAACAGCCAATCAGATATTAGATAGTCACCAGTTTCACCAGCTTAATTTAGTTTCACCTGCAACTCTTTATATTAGAAATGGTAATTTTATCTAAAGATGGTTTTAAAAAGTCATATAAATGTCGAACATTTAGTTGATGAGGCAAATAAGCTAGACATATTTTGTATTGGTAATAATTTAGCGTAAAAAAAAAAAAAAAAAAAAAAACAATCTAGTTTTTGATGATAGAATTAGTGCTCTAAATGGGTCGGGTCAACCCAAACCCGAACCCAACCAAAAAGTTCGGGTCAGGTCGGCTAAAGCTTTACAGCTATCGCTGGAAAAGGAAAGTACTGACTAGTTTTATATAAAATTGGAATGAGAGTTATCTAATTCGATATAAAAAAAAAAAATTATATAGATTATGTGCTCGTTGAGAAATCACCACCGGATATTATTATATTCTTGGATCCTAAGCTGGTTTACTTTTAAAATACCATTAAGTAGGGTATAAAAAACGGTAATCTGGAATTATACTAAACCCTGCTTACGATATACCTATTTTTATAATTTTATGTTGGGATTGGAAAGTTTCTCCCAACTTTTTAGAAACTCAAAAAGGGTTTCATAGTTGAAAATATCATATCAAATGTTCAAAATTTTTAAACACTGACATTTTTAAGATAAATGCATTTAATATCACGGATCATAATGATAATAAAAATAAATTGATTATAAAAACTTATAAAAAATGCACTCCAAAACATTTTATAATTTTCTAATTAAATTAGAAAAAACTTTCATTTTAATCTGCCACAATTATTATTATCATTATTACAGTATAACTTTATTGTAAAAAGTATAAAACACAAATAGTAAATATCCAATTTGAAACTCCTATTTATTAAGATTAGTATAAAATAAAGAATTAAAACTATATATATAGAAACCAATTTGTGCCTTCACCAGCAGGTTAAATTTATTCAAGACACTACATAATAAAAAAAAAAAAAAAAACAATGAAAATGAAGTCGAGTAGATACAATATTTATTTAATAAAAGAAAAAAATATAGTTACCATTACTTTCAGGTTCTGTAGTAGTGACATCTTGTGATTTCTGTTGCGATTGTTGTTATTGTTTCATTTTCAAATTATCCTCGATTTCAGTTAAAGTAGTTATCTCAGTAGTAGAACCACTATTCAACTTAAAATCCAATAATCTACTTGTGAATTTCTCCATTTCCACCCTTTGCTCAAACATCTCTTCTTCCTGAAGCAACATACTAATTTGTTCATCAGCTCTTAAAAACTCATTCATAATCTTCATACACTTAGAATTATGACTCAAAGTTCCATTTGCACACTGATACCAATGATCAAGAATATACTTCAAATGTTTCGCCTTAGGTCTTTTTAATGGGTTCGGGTGGCAACAACGTTGCACCAAATCCCTAAAACACTTTGGTGCAAATGCGTTCGGAATCTGTGGTCTTATTTCTTTATAACAGATATCTGATGCAAGCTTTTCATCATGTGCTATATCATAAAACGGTAGCTTACCAGTTGCTACTTCTGTCATAATAATTCCAAAACTATAAATATCAGAATATATACTAATAGGATTTCCTAATAAAGTTTCTGGGGCAACGAATGGTAAAACTCCATACACTAAATTATTACCCTTTAACGATTTATCGCATGTGGATATTGAAGTTGTACTATTAGCTGGTATACACAATCCTAAATCAGCGATTGTCGAGTAGGTTTCTCGTTCGTTCATGCCGAGTTGTAATATATTACCAGTATGCAAATTTCCATGAATATAACGTGATTTATGAATGATAAGGAGATTAGAAATGATATCGCATAACCACCAGAGTTTATCGGTCCATTTGAAGGAGGCAAAGGTGGTAGGTGAAGAATTCATAAATTGACGTAGACTTCCAAAGGTTGCATGTTGGATTACTAACATGTATTCACCAGAATTTGGGTTTTGCGTTATGCCATAGAATTCTAAATAGTTTTGGATATGTAATGGACATATTAATGCGTTGTATCTATAATATTCTTTTAGCTATAAATATGTAAGGACATTCGTTAGATAAAAAAATATAATAAAATTATAAATCTCATAACAAGATTATTAATATTTACATTTTTAAGATAATAGCTTGACATATTTTTAGAATTCTTTAT